CAGAAAAATTCTGAACTCTGCAGGTCCATAAAATTTACAATTATAACACTGTACTAACCTTTTCCCTTTTTCAAATTCAAAATTTATTTACATTTACCTTTATAATACATTTTCTGGATTCTTGAAAACTTTTAATAAATTTAATAGCAATATCTTAACTATCATAAATACTGGAAACTACAGGTACCAGAGTGCATTCATGATTAAGTTGACTACAATCAAATTGAATACATTGAGTTTTTTCTTTCTTAGAAGTTCTTATAAACTATGTTACCATCAATTGTTCAAGGTTTTTAAGTTTCTAATCATGTAACCTAAAGAGGAAAAAGAAAAGCTAATGGATTTAAACTACACATGAAGACTATATTAATTGAAGAATCTATAGAGGTTGAAAATAGTTTCTTTCATGATGATACTTTTTCAATCCTGCTAATTTAAAAAGTCTGATTTACTTTAATGATTCCCTTGAGTCAACATGTAAAACTTCTAATTGTTTGACATTTAAACTGTTGTATAAACTTCCTGTCAACTTATTTCTCCTTTTGCTATAATTTATTTCTTTATACCATACCTAGTTAATGATGTGTTCAGAACATAAGTAAAAATACTCTTGTATATTTTCACTAAAAATGCATAAAAATCTGATAGAACCAACTTTCCATATATATTCATCTGATGCCTGTAGATAGCTGGAACTAATGGTCTTCTTTTCACACAACCAGTCCTACCACTCCATCTAGACTATAAACTTCTGGAAAAAGAATCTGTCTTTCTCTGGCCTTCCCTGATTTTAACTTCTTTCTCCAACAGCAAGAATATAACAGATGGGAAAGAAGAGAAGAAGACATCAGAAGAGGTTTCCTGCTTTGCTCCCAGGAGGATAATCAAAGATGGTATAGACAGGCACTAGACTTAGAGATCCTATGACTTGGGAGCCCCTCCTGGACATTGAAAACCAATACTGACTGCAACAGGACACAGAGGAAATTCAGTTCTCTATAACAAAAGGTGGGTGGACAGAGGTAACTGTAGGAAACTGCAGTAGAGTGGGAAGCTGTGTGCTCTGTTTGGCTGGTGACCCTGAGGAAGTGCTGATTAGTATGGAAGCACATATGTAACTGCAGAGATGCATACTAAAGCACTGGCAGGCAGGACTCACAATGAAGAAGGAAGTGTGAAGTTGAACTGTCCTCCTCCCCACCTGCTACCATGAAGTGCCCCAAAAGCCAGACCTCCGACTGTGCATACATAAGTCTCTACACCCAGACAGTCTGGCCTATCAACAAGTGCCACAAGCCCACCCTACACAACACTTTCACCAGTGATTCATGGTTTCACTACCTTTGAAGATGAACTAATACCTATCTTTCTCAAACTCTTCCAAACCATTGAGAAGGAAACTTTGAAACACAAAGTTTATGAGGCCAACATGATCCTAATACCAAAATCAGACACCACAGTAAAAGAAAATTGCAGGTCAATTTGCCTAATGAATGTTGATGTGAAAGTCCTTAAATTTTTTTACATACCAAATTCAATAATGCATTAAAAGGATCATACACCATGAAGAATGAGATTTATTCCAAGAACACTAAGATGGCTTGAGATCAAGAACCAATCAATGTTATTCACCACATCAACAAAAGAAAAGGTAAAAATCATATGATCACATCAATAGATGCTGAGAAAGCATTTGATAAGAGCCAACATCCATTTATGCTAAACACCCTCAAAAAAAAATGAAAATGGGACATATTTCAACATCTTAAGGCCATATATGATAAGCTCATAGCTAATACGAAAAACTGAAAGCCTTTTTACTATTATTTGGTACAACGACTTCTACTTTGACTACTGCTATCCAATATAGTTTTGGAAGTCCTAGCTAGAGCAATTAGGTATGAGAAATATATAAAATAATTCCAAATTGGGAAAGAAGTAAAACTATCAGTATTTGCAGATGACATAATATACATAGAAAAACTTAAAGCCACCATTAAAATATTAATTGAAACAATAAGTCATACAGCAAAGTAGTAGGCTAGAAAATCAATATACAAAAGTAAGTTGCATTTCTAGGTACAAACAATGAACTAGATGGGAAGAAATTAAGAAAACAACCTCATTTGCAATCAAATCAAAAAGTTTACTAAGAGTAAATTTAACTATAGGACAATGGAAACTATAAGATATTGTTAGAAGAAATAGAAAATAAAGAAAAGGAAAGATATCCTTAAGTCATGGATTGGAAAAACTAACATTGTTAAAATGCCATCTTACCCAAAGCAGTATACAGATTCATGCAATCCACATTAAAGTTTTCATATCATTCATTAAAGAAACAGAACAAACAGTACTGAAATTCATATGAAACCACAAAAGACACTGACAATGAAAAATCACTCATATGAAGGGATTTTTGCATTGTTTACAATAGTCAAGGTATGGAAACAACCTAAGTCTCCAAAGATAGATGAGCAAGTCAGGAACATGTAATACACACACACACACACACACACACACACACACACACACACACACACTGGAATACTATTCAGCTACCAAAAAAAAAAAGATAAACTCTTGAATTTTGTGACAACATGAATAGAACGGGAGGGTATTATGCTAAGTTAAATAATACAGAAAGAGAAAGGCAAATAACAGGTGGTGTCACTGTATGTGGAATATAGGAAAATAAAACAGATAAAGCCAAACCAGAAACAAACCCTAAAACTCTGACTGTAGAATTAAAGTTACCAGAGGGGTAGAAAAAGGAAGGAGAGTAAAGTGGGGAGGGGGCACAATGGACTACGGGGGAGAACTTTCAATGCCTTGCTAGTATGTTTGGAAACACACCTGAAGATAACGATCCTATACCTCTAAATCAAATACATTAAAAAAAAGTTAAGTTTTTCGGCCCTCCCTGGTGGCGCAGCGGGTTAAAGCACAGCACTGAGAATCTGAGGCCACTTCCGCATGAGTTCGATTCCCGCCTGCCGCCTGCC